TAAGAGTTAACAAGGGGTGAAACAGGAACATTTTAATTTAAAAAAATGTTTTTTACTTGTCAGGTTTCTTTAACTGACATCATTTGCTGATCAAGTTCATCCTTTTGATATACAGATGAATGAACAGAATGATACAAAAGTAACAATATGTATCAGACAATTTTTTTTGACAGCTAAAGCTGCTGACACCTTCTCTGAGTATACTGTAATGCCGACTTTGCTGGGAGGGGGAGTCCCAGAAGCAGAGCAGAGAGACAGAACATGCCACACATGTCCTGTGTACAATGATGGAGTTGTGTTGGGTGTGTGTAGCATGCCCAAAGTATTCAGCTAGTTGAACTGAACCTATATAGTTGCCACTCCAAACTGTTTTATGTGTCAGTTATAGAAAATTTAGAAATATTGCCAGTTGATATGGGCTTCCTTTTAGTGCTGTCAGCTGCTTTCTTCACTTTCACTTCTGCTTCTTCTATGCACAGAAGAGGAACTAACATGGCTGCTCAGGAGCAATTAGCCAAACAGTACAACTACCTCATACACAACCATGGTGAAGAATTGGATGTAGAAATGAAGAAAGCAGCTGGTAAAAGAACATCAGCTTGGAGTGGTGGGCCTAACTTTAATATTTTTCTTCATGGGAGGGATGTGGGAGGGCATTTGGCAACACAAAGAACAGCCAAATCATGAAAGAAATAATACTAATCAATTTGAAAAAACAAATCCAGATGGTTACTGGAATAAAAGTTAAAGAAAAGACAGGTCAGCAGATGTCTCTCTAAGGCTACGTTCACACTAGCCTTGTTTGTAAGCGGCAGAAAGGCGTTTGGGAAGCGTTTTTTTTTCGGACAATTCTGCCCATTGCAGCACATGGTGCTGTTCTAACGGGAGCGGTAGCGTCATGGCGTGGCATGGCAAAACGGACGCCTCTGGTCGAGTCAGGAGGCATTGAAGCCTCCTATTCTAGTCTATGGTGCCGCTCCGCAAACGCCCGGCCGATGTTTGCGATGCGGTTGCGGGGCCTTTGCGGAGCGGTAACACCATTCAAACATCATTAGGCGTTTTAGGCGTTTTTAACACTTGGCAAACACCTAGCAACCGCCTCTGAACCGCTTGCCAAACCCTAAACGCCGGACCAACGTTAGGGGCGTTGGCATGAGTTGGTAAAACAGTCAAGTGTGAATGAGCCCTGACAGGGACACAGGCAGTAAAAAAACATTTTTACTACAGCAGGGAAGGGTTTAACTTTCTGACAATGTGTTTATTGCTGTCCATTCTTTCTGGCCCTGGTGACTGCTGTAGCCTTTAGTACTTGTATGGGTGTCAAAGGAAGAGGACATGAGAGAAAATCTCACCATTGGAGGTCACAAAAAGAAAAAAAAAAAACCTTACAGAAATTTGCTCTTCCACATACTATCCACAATACTCTATCCTGAAGTTTGACTTTAGCAATGATACACAGAACCTAAGAAGAAAAAAAAATGACAAAATCATACCCCCTTTAAAAAAAAATCACTCCCTAGAAACTTATTTTTTGTTGCTGTCATTGGAGAAATTTCCCACTACTTCCTTACGCTCTCATCATTGGAACAGGAAATAAGAGGAAATCTTCCTAATAGGGACACAGGAAGCAGAAAAAGCTTCACAGACATCTCAATTCTTCCCCAGCACTCTGCAAAACAAACAGTTAAATTTATTAAGTTTTCTTGCATGGCAAGACCACTTACTGTTATCTCACATATATATTCTTATTATTATAGCCAAATTTACCACCCTAACTCCTCCCACAGTTTTTACACTACATAGACAGTAATATACCGAAATGTGCGGATTGTTCCCGATTGATGTGCTATTACTTTGTGGAACGTTTCGCCAAATTGTTCATGAAATATCGGCGTTTTTGTAGTGAAATTGGTCCCATAGGAATGAATGGCGGAATGTTCAAAACTCTCTATGTTCAAAACTAGAGTGGGAGCTGACAAAAGCAAGAGTGTGAGCAGAAAAATCAGGACATGATTTCTACACTGCCATCACTCCTTCATTTTCAAGCCCACCTACACAAATCTTATATCAAAACGTTCAGCTATCCCTGCTGCCAATAAAAATGTCCACAGCTAAGCCATAGTCTTGATAGTTTTCACAATATGACCGTTTGTTTGCAACTCACGCCCCGCCCATTGATATTCATTGAAACTCCACTCTAGCCACCTCAAATTTGAAGGGCAATTTCTAAACTGCGACTGTGCCTTCATTTTTATTATTTAAGAGACATACTATGCATCAAAATGTAGGTCTGGATCTTGTGATTCTCACAATATAAAGCTCTTTGGTGTAGGATTTATAATTTTTAAACTACAACCGTTTGAATATGGCAACCGCCAGTGAAGTGAGCAAGTTGGAGCAGTTTGTTTTTAACCGCTCTTCTCTGCCCTTGCTGTAGTAAGTTGCCATAGGAACCCAGGTGTGTGAGCAGGTAGCAGAGTGACAAGCGACTCCACCCAGTTACTCCACCCACTCCAGTTGTAGACTACTGGTGGAGGCAAGAACACTTCACACAATTTTATAATTGTGGCTTTTCTAGTTATATCAGTGTTTGGGGGGGGGCTGTAAAACCGTGTGGTTGAGCCATGCTTTTACTGTCTCCCAACCACTACCCACTTTAGCTGCAGAGGAAGCATGCCATAACTACGATGCTTTCCTTTTCAGCTGTGGCAGGATTTATACCCCATCAAGCCAAGGTCGCTCTGCAAGTGTCCCACAACTGTTATTAAAATACTCCCATCTATGCTAGATCTTTCTTCCAAGAGCTGGCAAAAAAAATTGTAAAAAAAAAATGCTCACAGTCCTGTCTTTGCTACACATTTTAATGTGTGCAGCTCGACATACAGCTAAACCCTTCTATTCTGCAGTAAGCCAGACTAAATCTAATCGTGAAGCTTTATTAACAAAACAGGGTGGACGAAACTATTAGAAAAAAACGATGAGAAGTACATATAATCAGTATATGAAACATACAGAAAACACAATGAATAAATAAAGTGTTACTAAACCCACAACAGTAAAATCAGTCTGTATATGCAATAAAGCATGTTTGTTATACTCACTATGGAACCTAAGGGGTTAATCCTCTGCACTGTGTAAAAAAGGTTGTTTGATCCTTCCGACTCTGCCCCTCCTGATACAGACTGAACCCGTGGTCACATGAACATGCTCAGTTTGGTGTGTATTGCTAGAGAGGGTTTTTTTTTCTTTGGGAGAGTGCATGTGATCAGCACAGGGCCAATCAATACTGTCCAGACAGAGGGTCAGAGGTTTCACATCCTCCTAGAGCAGAAAGAAAATCTGCTGATGAAAAAAGGTATTTAGCAGTTTATATTAACTAAAATAATTGCATTTCCATGTTGTGTGTACTGTGGGAGAGCAGATATAGTGAATGCAGGGTCCTGGGTTTAGTAACACTTTAAGTTGTATGTGGCAATAAGTCCATGCTTACCAGCGATGCTGCCTGTAAGAGATATACGTTCAGTCCATGCTGCAGAGAATTATGGCTGGTTCCTTCTCTCTCAATTTCTAAGATGAAGTCTGAGCTCCACTTCCTTAGGGTGAAAGAGTTTTCTTAGGGTGAAAGAGTTTTTTTTTTTTATCAAGGCTAAACAGTCTCTAGTTTCTATAAAACAGTAAATTTATCTTGGGCTATATGTAGTGGCCACATTTAATTCAACAGGCAGGACAACACTGAATTGCACTGCTGGAGGCAGAACACTTACTTTGGCATAAATGTATGTGCATTTTCGGGTGTATGTTGTTTAGAAGTGCATGATGAATGCACATACACGTACATTTGTTATTTAGAAGCGCACGATGAACGCACTGAAATGTGAATCTAAATGCCACCATGTTATTGGACAAATTCACTGAAGTAAAGCTGCATTCCAAAAAATGAAAGATTTCTCTAAGCAGCCTTTTTTCTGCCTGTGTGCAAGAGGCCTTAACCTCAACTAGCATTTTATTCTTTTAGCACATACAGTAATAGAATTTTCTACCTTTTGGCTTAAATAATTATATTGTATGCACAGTTGACTCAAAAATCACAGAAAAACTGAAATGTAATGATAACAGCAGGTCTATGACAAACTAGAGTTTTTACAAGTCAACCATGAAGGTTCTCGTTCTATTTGTGATTAAAGTGGATAAGTGGTTCTCTTTCATTTTCTGAAAGAATCACGTTTCTTAGGTGAAGTGGTCATAAAATGCCTTCTCTGCTTAAAAAAGTGAATAATAAAGACATGCTTAAGAAACTGTCTTGGCAACCTCTCTTTACATAAAAGCAGAATTTTAATGAGTCTTAAATTACAATGTAGCCCATGGGCATACGAATCACTGTAAAGAAAGATTGACATTTTCAATTAAAATTTTTGAAAATGAGGAATTAATTTACACTTCTTTACTGCCATGAATATAATAGTCTATCATGTCTCCTAGATTGTAAGCTCGAAAGAGCAGGGCCGTCGAACCCCTCGTGCATCACATTGTATTGTTTTTGTACTGTCGCATGTTCTGTCTCCCTTTGTAATGTACAGCGCTGAGCGAACTGTTGGCGCTTCATAAATACTGTATAATAATAATAATGTCTCCTTCTGTCTCCTTGTCAGCCATAGACATATCAACTATGTTATCTATAACACATACAGTAGGGGGAGCGGTCACCTCTTCTCACTCACACAGCCATGGGGAAAGAAAATCCCAACAAGACCCGGGGGGAAGATGTCCTCCTATGGCTACTTCGTGCAGACCTGCTGGGAGGAACACAAGTTCTCCAAAAAGTGCTCCGAGAGGTGGAAGGCCATATCTGCCAAGGAGAAAGCCAAGTTGTAATAAATATCCAAAAAAGACCAGGTCTGTCATGAAAAGGAAATGAAAAACTATATCCCACCAAAGGAGAGAAGAGGGAAAGAAAAAAGAAGGAGCCAATTACTCCAAAATGGCCACCATCTGCCTTCTTAATGTTCTGTTCTGAGTATAGGCCCCATATAAAGAGTGAAAATCCTGGTCTGTCGACTGGTGATACTGCTAAGAAACTAGGAGAGTTGTGGGCTGAACAGTCACCCAAAGACAAGCAGCCATATGAACAGAAAGCAGCAAAACTTAATGAGAAGGTTATTGCTGCATATCAGAAAAATGGCAATAGTGACATTGGTAAGAAGGTTCCTGGCAGGCTAGCAGGTTCAAAGAAGATTGAGCCAGAAGCTGATAAAGACGAGGAGGGAGAAGAAGATAAGGAAAAAGAGGATCACGAAGATGATGAGTGAATGCTTTTTCCGCTGTATAAATTGTGTTGAAACTCATTATTTGTTTATATGCTAATTATGTAAACTCAAGTGCAGCTCATTTTGTTACCTTGGTTAAAAAAAATTGTACAGAATTGTGTATAGGCAATGTAATTCTAAAGGGAGAACCTATATTTTAATATAAGGAGCAGTTGGAGGGCTTTTAGAGTTGAAGCTTCCGATGTGGGATGATTCTGCATATGTAATGGTTTCTAAGGGTACCCCAATGTTGGTAACAAAGACCCAGCATACTTTAGTCCTGTAGACCTAGTGCACTGTACTTTTTTTTTCTAACGTTTTTTTACTAACTTTTGTTTTGTAATAAAATATATATATATAAATATCCTAAAAAAAACCTGTCATGACTGTGAAAGTAATATTTTGAACACACAATCTCCATGGGAGTGTAATTATGGGTCCAGTAGGCAAATCAGATGAGACTTGATGAACTTCCATCAGGGATCCTTTGACCTGCTCCATAGGGTAGTGGCAGAAACATGCTTAGATGCACAAAATAACAAATGCATGCCCAGTACCACCCACTTTAGGCTTGGCACTCTGGACAGAGCTGGCATAGTGCTCTATTTAGTGGCCGAGACTAGGAAGGAAGCTGAATACTCCAGTCCTCAAACCAGATGGCATGCTCTCTTGGATTAACATAGAAGCAGTCACCTGGTGACAGCTCGGATATCTATTCACTGCTGTCTCATCAGGCATGGTCTTTTTGAGAACCCCATCAGGAAAGAGAGCAATTTATACCCCCGGGAGTGTCCAGAAGTCTGAGAGATTGTGGGCGCCCAGGAAATTATGGGAAATAGACACTCCATTGCTTAGCTAGTAATTGAAACTGTGGAGCTTTCAGTGTAACATGGAGTGTCTTCTGCATAGCACTGCACCTTGTGATTGTGAGAGATGTCAGTCACGTGTTCTACTCTCTTTCTCCCAGTTTTTTTATTCTCATTTCATTTATTTAAATTGGACTTTCTCGCTTCAAATTCCCAAAGAAAGCAATGGCGTGCTTTAAAAAACTCATTTTTATTAAGCAGCAGCATGGTGTTGTTAAGGACAGAGTGCTGCGTTATAACTGGGTACCTTACAGTTTGTTAAAATTTCTATGGTGTTTAAAGGCACAGTTCACCTTTATCAAATAATTGCGTAAGCAGATAAGGGGTATCTGTAGGTGAAAACAAGCTGTGCAGCCTTGGCCAAAATTGAACAATGCTCTTGGTATAGGTGTAGGCCATTAATATACCTCATGAAGCCTGACTTGAGAACTCCTAGGTCATTGCTAAGTGAGGTCCAGCTATTGCTGTTCACCTTCACATCACAGGAACACTTTCTTTGATTCAGACCCCCTCACATGAGCTTTATCTCCCCTGATGCAGTAACTAATAATTGCGTGGTCATGCAACACTGTACCCAAATTAAATTTATATCCTTTTTGCACACAAATATAGCTTTCTTTTGGTGGTATTTGATCACCGCTGGGCGCTATAAACAACAAAATACTGAACATTTTAAAAATAACGATATTTTTTTACTTTCAGTTATAAAAATATATAGTAAACTCAAAGTTAGTCATACATTTAGGCCAAAATGTATTCTGCTACATGTCTTCGGTAAAAGAAAATCCCAATATGTTATTTTGATTGGTTTATGTGAAAGTTATAACGTCTACAAACTATGATATAGATAATGGAATTTACGCCATTTTTTCCTATATGGAGCTGCGCTGGTTTAACTTGTAATTGCGCGGCCATGCAATGCTGTACATAAATTAAATTTATGCCATTTTTTCCCACAAATAGAGATTTCTTTTGGTGGTATTTAACATTATTAATTTATAAATAAAAAAAAGACTGAAAATAAAAAAAAAACCTATATTTTTCTCATTTCTGTTAAGAAAACATATCCAATATACTCAAAGTTAATCATAAATATCGGCCAAAATGTATTTTGCTACATCTTTGGTAAAAAGAAATCTAAGTAAGTGTATATTAATTGGTTTGTGTGTAAGTTATAGTGTCTACAAACTATGGTATGGATACTGCTTTACACAGCTTTTACTATCTGACTGACTATCACATTTCTTAAGGTGCTAAAATGCCAAGGCAGTACAAACACCCCCAAATGACCCTTTTTTGGAAAGTAGACACGCTAAGCTATCTGCTGAGAGGCATGTTGAGTCCATGGAAGATTATTTTTTCCACAACTTTTTGGATAATGACCAAAAACATTTTTTGTTGCACAAAGTTGTCATTTAAATGGTATATTGCTCACCCATGTCATAGGTATATTTGGAATTATACCCCAAAATATATTCTGCTACTTCTCCTGAGTGTGGGGATATTACATGTGTGAGACTTGTTGGCAGCCTAGCCACATATAGGAGCCCAAGATCCAATGACCACTTTGAAAGCCTGAAACTGGTAACTTCCTCATTTCACTTCCTCACTACCTATCACAATTTCGGAGGCCCTACAATGCCAGGATAACACAACCCCCCACCCAACCGCCACCCCAAATGATCCCTTTTAGGATTTTGCAGACCTAATTTTTTCTTACAAGATTTTGAAAAATAGAAAAAAAAGGAAAAACATGTTTTTGTTTTCTTTCTTCATTTTCCAAAAATTTGTAGCAACAAACGAGATCTGCAAAATACTCACCATGCCTCTTATCAAATTCCCTGGGGTTTCTATTTTCCAAAAAGCGGTTATTTGAGGGGGTTTGTACTATTCTAGCATTTCAAGGTCTCTGAAACTGTGATAGGTAGTCAGGAAGTGTAATGCGGAAATAAATCTCTTTAAAAGCCTGAAGGTGCTTGTTGGATTTTGGGGTCCTGTACACAGCTAGACTGCCAAAAAGTCTCTCACATGTGGTATCTGTCACGTACCTGACTGGAGGCTGGAATAGAGAGAGGACACCCCTTATGGCTAAGTGCAGTGCGCCCCTGGAGGTGGTAACAGGAGGTTCCGTGCCCAAAGAAGCACGGGTTGCTAGGGGTGTTTCTGCTTGGTGATGCCTGATGAGACGGAACCCATGGGTCTGTGGACCAATACAACCGCAATTCATAAATTTTAGTAATGCCCATGTTGAGGGTTAGGCCCAAAAAAACTTTAAATTTGGAAACTGTAATAGGTTTCCAAGCAAATGATCTGGCAAGGTTTGAATTTTGGCTGGCAGCGATAAATTGTTGTGCGTATAAATTGCTTTAATCCACAATCAATCCATACTGATCTTCCATTAAAAACAGCTCCAAAAAATCAAGGGGAGTAGTTTAAAATTTGCTGTTTCCACCTGAATTCCAGGTTGGGCAGTAAATGGGGGAAGTACGGGTGCTGCAGAATTTGTGGGCTGCCAATCAGGATTTGCAAGCACATCTGGAGGGACACTATGGGCTCTATGGGCCTGTATTCAAATTCTTAGTGGCTTAAATACTTTTGGTCCCTTGAAAAAGGGATGGCTACTCTTAAGAGCTGTAATTCCTAAACCTTTCCTCCAATTTGGATGTACATACCCTCAAATTAAATCTGAGAGTGTGCACTTTCAGCCCATATCCATTATATAACCTATAGCTTGAATATGTTTTTGTAAATACCTGAAAAAACTAAAATTGTGCCTGTGTCCAAATATATATGGACCTAACTGTATAAATGAAAAAGACTAAAAATTTTGATAAAAAACAAAAATGTTTACTTTCTGCTATAAAACATATCCAATAAAAAATTAAAATAAAAACCAATTTCTGCACAAATTTAGGTCAAAATGTATTCTGCCCACGTCTTTGGTGAAAAAAGAAAATCCCAATAAGCGTATATATTGATTGGTTTGTGTGAAAGGTACAAATGTTGATATATACCGGAACTTATTATTGATTTTTTTTTTATATACTAGTAATGGCGGTGATCAGCAAGTCATAGTGGGACTGTGATAGTGAGATGGGCAATCTGACACTAACTGACACTGGGTGGGAACTGACTAACTGACACTGATATCCCCAGTGACACTAATACAGTGATCAGTTTCTAATACTATACACTGTCACAGTACTAATGACACTGGCTGGGACGGGGTCAACATCTAAGGGGAATCAAAAGGTTCATTGTGTGCCTGTGTGTAATGTGTGCTGCTTTTACTTTGCAGGCAGGAAAAAAAACAGCCACATCGCTGCACTATGATTCACTAAGCCGATCAACAGGTCCCGGCCATAAATCATTGGTCGGGATCTGTTGACAGACTTGTGCTGTACGGAATTACATCACAGACAGGGCGGAGAGCACGCGTGCCCCCTACCCAGAGATGCTGGATCACATACGTGTACGTGATACAGGGCAGAGTAGCCTCCCTATTGCTGTAAAAATAGATGGGGTGGTCAACAAGTGGTTAAAGATGGTAATACACTGTTTGAATTCAAAAGTTCCTCATGAGCTGTTTAAATTCTTTCTGAGGGTGGCTCTGTTGACCCCCTCCCACCTGACATCCCGTGACTGAAAACTAGAAGGACCAGGGAGGAAAAGTGTGGGCATAATAGCGGCTGCATCCAATGAGATCCCTCCTGCCAGGTGTCAGGGTACATTAGCCCAGCAGGGCGAACCTGTGAAGGTCCATTCGCATGGGCAGTTGTTACGTTGTGAATTCCAGCTGTAAGAATCTGCAGATTCCTGTGTCTGGAATGAGAGTGGTGTGTTGAGAGCTGAGGCCACTCATCGTAGACAATGTCTGTCTATGGGCTATAGACATACATTTTGGTTCAGTCTAAATCCATCTGAAAAACTGACAGATTTAGACTGAACGCGTGTATAAACGGGCCCATGACCTTTCACTTAGAGAAAAAAAATGGACATATGAAAAGCATTCTGATGTTGCCTGCACTGAAGATGGATGCACTGTATAAACTGTTGAAAAGGATTCAGTTTTTCATACTTTTTTTAAAATCAGTTTTTGTGATGGGATTACTGGCTCTACCCAAAGAGCTGCATCAT